CGTGACCGGTAGGTAGACAGCCGTGACCGGTAGGTAGCCAGCCGTGACCGGTAGGTAGACAGCCGTGACCGGTAGGTAGCCAGCCGTGACCGGTAGGTAGCCAGCCGTGACCGGAAGGTAGACAGCCGTGACAGGTAGTGGATCAAGGGGTAAAATAATAGAGCTAGAGCCTTAGCGCCATGAAGATATAAGAGCCTGTGGTCATAGGTTCTTCCAGGTCACATGACCTCGCCAACGACAATAAATTGACTAATACTCGCTATGATTAAAGAGATAAAATGCTCTAGAAGTGATTAATACTGAGTTTAATTAAAGATAAAAGACTCTAATCTTTAATTAAACTTGAGTATTAATCACTTCTAAAGGCTCTAGAAGTGATTAATACTCGGTATGATTGAAGAGATGAAAAGCTCCAGAAACGAAATGATTAAAACTCACTACTGGTGAGTTGTGCTGTTTTCAGAAGACATTGTGGGTTCCTTTCTGAGGCCCCTAAGGGCCCCTTGGTGCCGGTTGGCACCACATCAGTGACTTTTGGTCTAATGGATGAAGAAGTACAGGACTTGAAGTTTCCCACAATGCAACTGGAGAAGCTGTGATCATCCATGGTCACTAGACGAGCAGATATAACCTAGAAGACTTTGCTCTCCTCACAAAGCATCATGGGATTGGTTTTGGAGCCAAGAAAGAGCAAAGATGGCGCAGTGAGAGGAGCCGGGGTCACGTGACCAACAGGGAGCGAAAAGTAGTGGTGATAGAGGGGTCAGAGGTCAGGGCAGAACTCTGGCTGTTCTGGAAACGTCTGCTTTGGTCGTAGAAACTCGGTTCAGCAGCGATGGATGTTCTGATGGACGTCTGATTGGTCAGCGCTCTAACTGTTACCACAGAGCTGCTCTCTGATTGGTCGTCACTCTAAAGTCAAGAGATCTTTAAGAGTTTGAGAAGTTGGTTCTCTGCGTGGGTCCAAAGTTCCTGGCTGGTTCCGGGGCCGGCTGGGTCTCTGTGACCTGGCTGATGGTTTCTCAGCAGGTTCAGAGAAAATATTCTCTGCATGTCTGATTTTATTGGAGCCTTTTAAGGAACGGAACCAATGAATGGGTTACAGGTGGAGGGATGTAAAGTTCTGCTGTCTGGAACCAGACTGCAGTGGTTTCCATGGTAACGCGTCTCCTTGGTTCTGACAGTACCTGAAGAAGCTGCACACCCAGGAGCGGGCCGTGGAGGAGGTGAAGCTGGCCATCAAGCCCTACTACCAGCGCAAAGACATCAACAAGGACGAGTACAAAGACATCCTGAGGAAGGCCGTTCATAAGGTCCGCCTCGCCGTCCGGATCGTCCGCCTCGCCGTCCAGACTGTCCTGCTGCGCTTCTGTGGGGATTAACCTTCTGTCTCTTTGCAGATCTGCCATAGTCGCACCGGAGAAATCAACCCGGTCAAAGTAAGCAACCTGGTCAAGCTGTACGTTCAGCGCTACAAATACTTCAGGAAACACGGACGCAAGATGGATGAAGAGGAGCGCGAGCAGCAGGGGGCGCTGCATTCCTCCGCCTGACCACGGCCGGACCTTCTGGGACACTATCTGCTGCTGGTTCTGCTCGCCCTTTCTCAGTTTACGTTTTTCAGACTCTGATGACCCCCTCCCTCCTCGAGCCGCTGTAACATCTGACTGCTCTAGTTCTGTGTAATGTGTGCATGTGGTGCAGACGTTCCTCGATGTGTTTCTAAAGAACCTGATCCAAACTTAAATGTTGCCTGATGATGATGATGATGATGGCTGTTTCCCCTGAATAATAAACACACCAACATGTCTACACTATCTTCACACCCCTCAGCTTCTCTCACATTAGTTGCCTCATCATAGATCCAAACAACTCAGAATGGGCTGGGAAACTTGCAGAGGAAGTTAGTAAGAGGTTGAGACTGGGTTCAATCACTGCGATTATATTCTAGAAGGTCTGATTCTAGTTCTATGTCCAGAAAACTAGTTCTACATTCTAGAAATACTAGCTCTACTTCTACATTCTATAAGGGCTGGCCCCAGTTCTACATTCTAAAAGGAGTAGCTCTATTTCTACATTGTAGAGGGACTGGCTCTAGTTCTAAATTATAGAAAAACTAGCTGGAGTTCTATATTCAAGAAGGACTAGTTCTACATTCTAAAAGGAGTAGCTCTGTTTCTACATTATAGAAAGACTGACTTCTAAATTCTAGAAGGACTAGTTCTACATTATAGAAGGACTAGGATAACATTCTAGAGGGACTAGTTCTACATTCTAGGATGGCTAGTTCTACATTCTAGCAGGGGTAGCTCTATGTCTACATTCTAGAAGGACTGGCTCTAGATCTATGTTCTACAAGGAGTATTTCTAGTTCTAAATTCTAGAAGGGCTCTTATTACATTCTAGAGGGATTAATTCTACATTCTAGGATGGCTAGTTCTACATTCAAGAAGGGCTGGCCCTAGTTCTACATTCTAAAAGGAGTAGCTCTATTTCTACATTATAGAGGGACTATATCTCTCCAGGGCTCTAGTTCTAAATTATAGAAAAACTAGCTGGAGTTCTATATTCAAGAAGGACTAGTTCTACATTCTAGAAGTGGTAGCTCTAGTTCTACAATATAAAATGAGTGGCTAGTTCTACATTCTAGAAGGGCTAGCTCTAGTTTTACATTCTAGAAGGACTGACTCTAGCTCTACATTTTGACAGGCTAGCCCTAGTTCTACGTTCTAGAAGGAATGGCTGTAGTTCTACATTCTAGATGGACTAGCTCTAATTCTACATTCCAGAAAGACTAGCCCTAGTTCTACATTCCAGAAGAACTAGCTCTAATTCTACATTATAGAAGGGCTAGCTCTAGTTCTACACTCCAGAAGAACTAGTTGTAGTTCTACTTTCCAGAAGGACTAGCTCTAGTTCTACATTCTAGAAGGAATGGCTCTAGTTCTACATTCCAGAAGGATTAGCTCTAGTTCTACATTCTAGAAGGACTAGTTCTACATTCCAGGACTAGCTTTAGTTCTACAATATAGAAGAACTAGTTGTAGTTTTACATTCTAGAAGGGCTAGCTTTAGTTCTACATTCTAGAACTAGTTCTACATTCTAGACGGACCAGCTCTAGTTCTACATTCGAGAAGGACCAGCTCTAGTTCTACATTCTAGAAGGACTAGCTCTAGTTCTACATTCTATAAGGACTAGCTTTAGTTCTATATTCTAGACGGACCAGCTCTAGTTCTATATTCGAGAAGGACCAGCTCTAGTTCTACATTCTAGAAGGGTTAGCTCTAATTCTACATTATAAAAGGGCTAGCTCTAGTTCTACACTCCAGAAGAACTAGTTGTAGTGTTACTTTCCAGAAGGACTAGCTCTAGTTCTACATTCTAGAAGGACTAGCTTTAGTTCTAAACTCTAGGACTAGCTTTAGTTCTACAATATAGAAGGACTAGTTGTAGTTTTACATTCTAGAAGGACCAGCTCTAGTTCTACATTCGAGAAGGATCAGCTCTAGTTCTACATTCTAGAAGGGTTAGCTCTAATTCTACATTATAAAAGGGCTAGCTCTAGTTCTACACTCCAGAAGAACTAGTTGTAGTGTTACTTTCCAGAAGGACTAGCTCTAGTTCTACATTCCAGAAGGACTAGCTCTAGTTCTACATTCCAGGACTAGCTTTAGTTCTACAATATAGAAGGACTAGTTGTAGTTTTACATTCTAGAAGGACCAGCTCTAGTTCTACATTCGAGAAGGATCAGCTCTAGTTCT